TCTTTCAGCATTATACCAGACAGTGTTCCACTGCTACTCATAAGGTTATCAGGGGCTAGCCCCTCAGAAGTGGATCACCTACCTAGTCTTTCTTCCTTGTCTGTCTTAATCTGGAAGTTCTGCTGAAACCTGTCCACTGTGGGTGACCCTGATGGCACTTGAAACACCAGTGGCATAGCTTCCAGCGTCACAGCAACGTGCAAGTCACCACAGTATGACCAACTGACAGACACGTGGGGGAAGAACAAATATAGCACAAATTAAGAACAGAAGCTAAACTAAAAAGACATCAATCAGAATTAAAAGGGAGCTAAGATATCAGGTGTTCTGCTGTACATATGCTTCTCGGCTGCTGTAAACGGCACATAACCACCACCACCAACAATGTGGACATTGCCTTTTCCTTCTTTTTTATTGTGATGAAATGTATGTGCAACTTAAAACAACGTTCCATTTCAAGTGCATTTCAGTGGCATAAATTATATCCACAATGCTGGGCAGCCATCACCATTACTTACTCTAAAACCTGCTCATGACTGCAATAGGAACAATACCAGATAAGCACTGACTCCCCATACTTTCTATCCCCAGTTCCTTGTAACCACTCAACTACTTTCTGTCTGTGTTTGACAGTACTAGATAGTGTACGGAATTGGGATCATACAATATTTGTCGTTTTGTATGTGGCTAATTCACTTAGTGTAATGTGTTCCAAGTTTATCCATGCATCAGAACTACATTTCTCTTGATGGCTATGTAGCATTCTATTGTACATATCTACCACATTTTTCTTATCTCTTTATCTACTTATAGATACGGTTATTTCCAACTTTTCCTGGAAATAGTTTTTTACTATTGTAAATAATAACTACCATGTATAAGGAAGCTCTGGTAACGTAGCGTAGTGGTTACGAATCGGGCTGCGAACTGCAAGGTCAGCAGTTCGAAACTACCAGCTGTTCCATGGGAGAAAGATGAGGCTTTCTGCTCCCGTAAAGATTTACAGCCTTGGAAACCCTATTCTGGGTCGCTGTGGGTTGGAATCGACTCGACGACACTTAACAACAACAACATTGCATATGTAGCTGAGTCCCTGCCTTCAATTCTTGTGGCTGTATGCCAAGGAATGGAGTTATTGGGTCTATGGTAATTGTAGAGTCCTGGTGTGGCACTGTAGGATAAGCACTGGACCACAAGGTCGGTTTGAACTGCAAGGTTGGCGGTTCAAACTTACCAACTGCTCTTAGGAAATCCCATACCATGCTCGTTAATAGTTGGAGCCGACTCTACATGATTGTAGGACTCCTTTTATGGCACTGTAGGATAAACACTGAACTGCTAACCATATGGTCATTGGTTCAAACCCACCAGCTGCTCCTCAGAAACCCTGACTAGGGTAGCTATGAGTCAGAACTGACTCCAAGGCTTTTAACAGCAGTGGTAATTGATATCTGGGTGGCACAGATGATTAAGCACATGACTGCTAACTGAAGTATTGGTCGTTCAGGTTCATCCAAGGACAACTCAGAAGGCTTGGGATTCTACTTCTGAAAATAGTCTGCTTTGAAAACCCTATGAAACACAATTCTATTCTGATACACATGGGGTCATAGGTGTATTAAGCACTGGACTGCTAACCACAAGGTCAGTGGTTCAAATCCACCAACTGCTCTTTGGAAACCCCATACAGGGTCACAATAACTTGGAACCTACTCCATGGTGTTTAACTATAGCAATAGCATGTTTAGTCACTGTGAGGTAGAATGACAGCAACTATTGTTTGTTGGGTTTTTTTTAATGGCAACTCTTATGTTTCATTTTCTGAGGAATCACCAAACTGTTTACACTGCTACACATCAACCGTCTGTCAGTTTAGTGCACTATGTGTAGCTGTGATGCCACTGGTATTTCAGATACACCCCCTCCTCACTTATGGACATTATTAGTTTTCAAAGACCAGATCTATGCTAAATAGATGTTATGTGAGTCACCCCAGGACCCTCACTCCCACTCCCTGGACCCAAGTCCCTGCCCGTTCTGTACCTCTGGCACATCTTAGGATGCATGTGGTGTGGCGGGTGGGTAGGGATTACACTGATCTTCCACTCACCCTCCCCCATGGACTTCCTTAGCGTCTTTGGGCCCTCCACCGGCCTCCCCTTGCTCACCTATGACCTTGTTTTGTGCTGCATCACCCAGCACCCTCCATGGCTGGACCAAGATGTTACAGATGAACATCCTGCTGCCAATCAGCTGCTAGCCTGCATGGGGCCCAGTTATTGCTGGGTGCCTCTGTTTTACTGTTCAGGATGGTCTGTGGAGTGTATCCCGGGCCCAGACCCGGCCTTGCATGGGACCCAGACCATCAGAGGCACTGCCTAAGAGTTTTCTTAAAGTTATCGTAAATACACAGTATCAGATGATGAGATAGTTGAGTTCTGGAAAAACATCTGAGTTCTATTCATTTTTCTGCTGACTTTTGGTGTTTTTTAAATTGGATCAGGAGTTAGTAAAGCTGCTCACGCAGACATTTTGCTAATGCCGCCCTCCATTAAGTCTAATATTTTAATGTTGTTGCTGTTGTTAAGTGCCATCAAGTCGGTTCCAACTCATAGTGACCCTGTGTAGGATCCCCAAGGAGCAGCTGATGGGCTTGAACTGCTGACCTTATGGTTTGCAGTCCAGTGCTGCTCCTTTAGCACCACACCAGGAGCCAATGACTGGAATGCTATTTTTGGACTTTATATACACTTGAAGAGAAGGCCCATAACTTCAAACAAGAGTGGAATTAAAGTAACATAAACTATATTCATTTTTTAAGACTGAAGGAGCCCTGGTTGCATGGTAGTTAAGTGCTTGGATTGTAATCAAAAAGGTTGGAGGTTTGAATCCACCAGGTACTCCACAGGAGAAAGGTGTAGCAGTTTGCTTCCGTACAGATTAGCACTTTGGAAATCCATTAGAGCAGCTCTGCTGTGTGCTGCGGGGTCACTGTGAGGTGAAATCGACCTGACAGCAATGGGTTTATTAAGACCGTGCATTCCACAAAAGGGCAACAGAATTGAGTAAGGGCTGGGAAGGTGGGTGGAATGGAAATCGGAACCACAGGGAGGAAGTGGGATAGCTGTTTTTTCATGGAAAGGACTGCAATCTTTGAGATGAAACAACGTGTGTGATTTGTTGAATGGAAAACTAGTGGTCTTGTCTCTAAACCTCCACTCACTTCACAGTGAAAGAAATAAAGACTGTGTATTTTATAAAAAATGCTCCTTTTTCTGAAATACTTAATACATTTCTATGTTCTCCATGACCTATTTCACAAATCATTTAAGCCCTCGTGAGTATATTTTTCAAGTGGCTATTTTTGAGATTTAACAAATAATATCTACTTATCTCATGTCTTTCTTTGTTCTTTGGTGACCATGGGTCACTCTGTGCTCCAGAGATACAAATCTGGCTGTTAGCTCACAATACTTCACGCCTATGTAATTAGGTCGCAGCTGTTGCGATCTCAGCTTCTCTCAAGTTCCTTGCACTGCCTTCTACTCCTGGCACACACATACTCCCTAGACGGTTGCTTCAAGATGTTTTTCTAAGAGGAATTACAGTTTGTTATTTCATATCATCTGTGGAGCTGCAGTGTAATGCTGGCATCACCCCCTGGGTATTCCTACATCCACCAAACCTCAGTCACCACATCCATGGAGTAAGGACTGCTTGCTGGTCACTACCACTTGGCACTGCTTTCTTTGTGTTGTATGTAGATGTTGATGATAACAGTAACAACACTTGTGGTGGTAAAAATAATGAGTTTGTCATTAGATTAGGCTAGCTTTGGGACTTTGATTTTTGTATAATTTTAAACTAAAACAAACAAGCACATTGCCATCGAAAAAACCCATGGCACCAAGTGTGTTACAGAATAGAACCAGGCTCTGTAGTATTTTTAAGCAGACTGACAAACCTTTCTTCCATTGTTAACACTGAATGGATTTGAATGTAAGCCATTTGTGCTGCCTGAAAACCAATTTTAATCTATTAACTGGTAAAGATCATCCTATTTTTACTTATAGTAAAATGCTTATCTGACCAATACTCTGAGAACAGGTTTACTGAGGGGAGCCGTACGTGGGTTTGTCTAGATTAAAGAAAACTTTTTCTTAAAGAAAGGATGAAGTAATTCTTCATGCAAACACATTATTCCTTTGCTGTGTGCTAGCACATAAAGCAGAGTCGAATTGCTGAAGGATTAGAGATCCTTTTGTATCTCTTCTGTGCATGTCTGAAAGATCCATAGAGAAAGATTATGGTATGGCTCTGTAGCTCTGGTAGCATAGTGGTTAGGAATCGGGCTGCTAACTTCAGGGTCAGCAGTTCGA